TCACCACTGAATGGAAATCTCTATGAAAATAAAAAAGAGCAGTGTAGAAGACAATGGAGTTAAGTATTGCAACATTTACCTTTTTTTTTTTTTTCAATCTCTTATTGAATAACTCACAGCAGTCTTCTACAGAACACCGGTGTTTCTAGGCTTCAAAACCACCATTTTTGATTGACGATTCCCATTAAGGAAAACTGCTTCTCACTCTACTTAATTTTTTTCTTAATATGCCAAGAACATTGAACTCACAGCTTAGGCAAGGACTCCAAACCCTACAGGATACAAGTCTGACACAAAAGTTACAGACCTAGAAGTGATTTCAACATTTGGTAATTATGTAGAAGTACTTCTGAGCAAATCAATGTTTTTTCTATTTATGCCTCTAGCTTCGCTTGCTCTGATACTGCCTTTTTGCACTGAAAAGCTCAGAAACGTAAATATGTTGCAATTGTTAATAGCCCTTTAAACTTTGATCTCTGTCTTACCTCTGTGAATTCTCCCCTCCCCCCTTCTCCTATTTCCATGGTATTTCTATGTCTTATCACCATCTGTTTCTCTGCACTTTATTTATCTCATATTCTGGATATAATTAAGGAACTATGTACACAGTCCACATATTTCCATCTACCTGAATCTTTCTGAAAAACCTAAAAGCCCAAATGTCCTTTGTTCTTTAAAAAAATATATGATGGAAAATAGCAGCTGCCTCTTCCAAAGGACTCCAATTCATCCCTAAAAAAAACAGTCCCACATGGCTGAGCAGAAGACCAACTTCCAACTGCCTATTAGAAACCAGAGAAGTCAAAACCAGGGTTAGCTTGGACCATCATCACCTCATTCTAAATAAGACAGATTCACACATTCAGATCAAAAGTGGAATCATGAAATATCAGTACTGTCTAGATAACTGTCTCCATTGCCTTTGAGAACCACAATTCAGAGACCTACACAATTATCATTCCTTGTACTAGCCCCACTGGGATTATATGACTAGCCCTCCCACCCAAAAAAGAATAGGGCTTTTGATAAGCATTTGATGATACAGTCTCCTGTTTTTTTGAAGTGATGCTATGCAGAATTCCGTGGAAGCACATCAGCAATTAGTTCATAATGCTTTCCCAAAAGAAAAAAAAATATTTCATTCATTTAGATACGTAGTTTCAAGCAAGACCACAACAAAAATATTACATTCATCCAGATCCAAACAATTTTTGTCCCATTAAATAAAGGGGAGGTGGTTTATTTTTACACATGCTCTCTATATTTAGATAGGTTGGATTAATAAAGCAAAGGAGCAATCTGCACTAAGATACTGAACTGCCAAGACAGCTGGTGTCATGCAGAAATTAAAGTGTTGTTAGGACAGGACTGTCAAACTTGCGGTGTCACGGTGACGTCACGTGATGTATCACAACTTTTTCCCCTTTGCTAAACCATGTGTGGGCGTGGCCAGCAGGAGACGCATCTGGCCTGTGCGCCACGAGTTTGACAGTCCTGTGTTAGGAGATTCAGGTTCAGGATCACTTTCAGTCATCAAAGCTTACTGAGTGACCTTGAATTACTTCTCTAAAATATTCCGGCCCAAATTACCTTACAGATTATCCTGTTGGGAAAAATAATTGGGAAGGTAGTAAAGAAAGAAAAACGGAAGATAAATCTACCAAGTAAATAAAAACCAAATACCTTCGAACTGTAGTTGTACCATAAAATCTAATGTAATATATAACATAGTTATGGCTTTCCAACAGAGTCATGAGTCACGAGTTAGGAATTTTGTTCTAATTTTCTGAAAATGGAAAAATGTGAAATGGTGATGGATGATTTCTGGACTTGACAATTGAAAAAAAAAACTGAATGAGGAACTGAAAGTATTATTATAATGCTACGGAGATACAAAGCTAATGAGCTTGTCGTCATCATCATCATCACCACCATCGTTTTAACTATTGTCTATCCACTGCAGGATGAAGGCCTCTTCTGCATGTTTCCAACCAATATGGTCCTAGCTTTCTTTTGTCAATTGGGCCCACAGGTGACTTCTTTAACCACCTCCTCTTTCTTTAATTGTATTCTTTCCTCTTTTTTCTTTCTTTTCCTTATATACTTCTGTATTTGTCTTTTAGCTATGTAAAAAACCTTTTAATAAACATTAATTAAAACAGATTGTTCTCATTTTCTGTAGTCTAAATTAAAACGAAATTAAAAATAAAATTGCATTTGTCCTTGCTACAGTACTACTTAAGAAAAATCACAAGAGACCCAATACAGAGATCTTCTCTTGCTCAACAGGTTGACCAGCAGCTGGAAAGAATGGAGCACAACTCAAAGAACCTTTTCCAAAATCCTCAGGGCAGCTCTGCAGTAATTCACAGCAGGCAAGCAGCAGCAATGCCTCTCCATTCAGGCCTATGTGGAAAGTGTTCCCCTGAAGGCAGAATGTCTTTTTTTGAAGAAATAAATGTTGTAATAGAATGGGTAAGTAGAGGTTTTGACTTAAAAACTGTTCTTTGAATTTTGGTCAAGAAGTTATGAAATCTGCCTTAACAGTAGGATTATCTGCAAGATGATTCCCCCCCCACCTCCCCTCTCTCTCATATACATATACATGTATCTGTATTTATCCACACACACACACACACACACACACACACACACACACACACACACAAACACACAGCCATGAAGCTCCCTGTTAGAACACAACCATTTCTCAAAAATGTTGGTTCTGACGAATGCCAAAAACATGGGAACAGATGAAAATTCCACATGAACAAATTGCTAGTATTAAAATGTTTTTGATATTGTAACATACTACATATAAGAGTTAAAGTTAAACCCAAATGGATTAAAACATATTTTTTACCTTTCCAAAAAACTGCTGACACAAGCATTTTATATAAAAATTAAAAATCATGCAACAGCAGTTTGACTCTGCAAATGATTGAATGCTTGCTCTTTTTTAAAAAAAACCTTTACATAGCATCAATAGTGACTCAAGCAGTTAGAATTATTTTCATATGACTCAGGTTATTGCAGTATAAACAAACCTTGTTTCCCTAGAACCTTATCTGGGGGATTGAAGTTTCTTTTCTCTTTTAGAGCTCTGAAAATACAACCACTATCTGTTGCGTACTCTTACCACAATTGCAACAAGTCATGTGGATTCTCAGCTAGGCAGCTATAAAGCAGCTGAATCACCAAGCAATTTGTTCTTATACGCCAGAAAAAACTTTAAAAAAGGTGAATGGTGTCCACTTGTAACATTTCAGATGGGGAATTACTGTCCAGCACTTCACAGGATATGACAATAGATAGAAAGTTCCAAAACCGAGCATAACCAATTGTTACTGGCTTGCCTAAATACAGCACAGTGACATCGAATGCATCTATCAAAAGAAGAGAAGGAGCTGCAAACTCTAAAATGTTTGAAGCTTGGGTTAAGAGTTCATCTATAATATCTGTCTCTCAGAAGAAAAGATGCCTCTCAGAACCACTGTTATTAACTGTTTCCCCAGCAAAAAGAAAAAAAAGTATTCTCTCCTATGAGGAACAAATGAAGAGCATCCATATCAAAAAGACTTTTTAAATAGATCCATACTGACATTTCACAATGTATTAGTTCAGACAACTGTATAATGCATACTAAAGGAGAAAATGTGAGGCCATAAAATTTGACTTAACCAATGTGTCTCCAGTAAGAAATTGGTTCATATTCAGGCTCTGTAACAGTAGCACAAACCTCTGTCTAACCACACACAAACTGACAAAGTTCACTCATACACACACATTTATTTCTAGACAGAAGTAGATCCAGTATAGCAGATTTGCTTAGGAAGACCAAGGTTCACCTCCTGATTCAGCCATGAAGCTTACAGGATGCCCTTGAAAAAGTCACCGTCTCTTGACATAACTTATACAATAATGGGGATGTGAATACTATGGGATAAGCCCATACTTACCACCATGCACTCTACTCCTTGAATGCAAGAAGGGCAAAGTCCAAATATACACATATGCACAAATACTTTTCAGGAGTCCACACCTCCATGAAGAAAGGGACTGTTCCTGGTTCATGCATGCAGTTTTGCATACAATTGATTCAAGCAATTACAAATATTGCAATAGCTGGCCCTAACTAGTTCACACTCACTCCCATCCTCAACCTCCATCAGACTTTTTCATCTACTCTGATGTTCTTTCCTAGCACATTACCTACCAAAACAAATACGGTATGCATACTCTAGGGTTTAGTTTAAACCCTAAAGTCCACAGATTTTTTTTTTGAGTCATATTGACTCCGGATGATTGTCTGAACAAGTCCCTGCGGTTTTCTCTGCAAGAATTTTAAAAGTATTTTGCCATTGTCTGCTTTTCGGGGCTGAGTGTGTGTGACTGGCCAAAGGTCACCAGCTGCCTGCCTGCCTAAGGCAGGACTAGAACTCAGATTTCCTAGGATTTAGGAACCTACCTTAACTATTACACTATTAGGTGTTAACCATTACACCTAACTGGCTATCACATAAATATGTCAAAATTGTTATGGGGGTGGGGGTGGAAGGGGATCTCAAATAAGCCTGAACTGATTTCATGTCACAGAAAGCACTTTCACGTCACCTTTAAAATAATGCTTCTTAACAGCAGTTTGCTCATCCAAACACTAACAAAAGGCTGCATTATAAACACTCCAATGGAGAGACGTGACAGCCTGAACGTGAAAATCAGGCAAGTGTGAATCAGCAGTTAATGTAAGCAAAATACCACGAAGTTTCCCTAGCCTTCTCAAATGTAATTAAAGTTCATGCATCCGAGCGTTAATCAACAATTGCATAGCAATCTTGTGCGTGGGTAGAAAAGCCTACAAATGCCTCTGAGAACCAGGGTTGCAAAATCAGCAATTCACCCTGGCACGTGAGAACCAGACCTAAAAAAGAGCCGTCCCTTTCTCCTTTTCAAAGACAGGAGTAGGTAGAGAACGGGGGGGGGGGGATGTTTTCACTTACTTTCTCCTTTTTGGTTAAAGAGACGCTGCCACCGCCGCCCTCCCCTTGTTCGCTACACTTGTTGAGCTTCTTCTGTCCGGCTCCGCCAATTCCCGGCGGGCTCCAGGTGATGGGGACGCCGCTGCCGCCCTTACCACCTTCGTTGCTTTCTATTTTGATCAGCCGGTGCTTGGGGGAAATGTACTTGACCGACGCGGAGTCGGGCGGGGTGGCAGCGCGGCGTTCGCTGTGGCTGCGGAAGAGCTGAGGCGAAGCCGTGGGGGTGGGGGCAGAGGCGACGGCGGCGCTGCTCCCGCCGCTGCTGCCTCCTCCGCCGCCGCTGCCGCCGCCTCCGCAGCAGGACGAGGACGAGAAGGGTTTGGGACCGGCCGACTCCACCAGCAGCTCCTCCGGCGCACAATACTCGGGTCGGCAGAGCGCTCTCAGCTTGCGCAGCGATGAGCCCGGCCCGCTGTAAGGGTCCTCGAAGTCGCGCTCCTTCTGAGCGCGGTAGGCGCGGAGCAGGTCGCTGGTGTCGTGGCGCGGGAAGCACGGCGACGTGTGGTGGTGGTGGTGATGGTGGTGATGGTTGTGGTTGTGGTTGTGATGCCCTCCGCCTCCCGCTCCCGCCGTGCCGTTCCGCTTGTCCCGATAGTCCGGACGGGGCGGTTGCGGAGGGCTCTTGGTCTTGTTATTGCCCAGGCTAAAGTATTTGTTCAGCCATTTGGCCATGACGGCATCGAGTCGGGCGCCCGCCTGCCTCCCTAAAGCACGCCGCCGGCACCCATGGAGACTCCAGGAACCGTGCGCCGCCGCTCAGGGCTGCACGCCTTGGCGTCCCTCCGGCTCGGGCGGCTGTTCCTGAAGCTCCCGTCCCTCCATGGGACCCGCGCCTCCTATCCAGCCGTCCGCTCCCGGCCCCGCCAAAAACTTTTCCCCCGGGGAGATGCCTTCGCACCCTCTAAAGCAAGGACTGGGAAAGCCCCCCGCTCCGACCTCGCTCCGGGCTGGGCTGGGCTCGCCTCTTCTCTCGCCTCAAAGGCGCCGCTTTCCTGCCTTCGCTGAACTTTGCCGAGTTGCCCGCAGGACCTGACGCACGCAGGCTGGGGCTGCAGCGGCTCCTCCTCCGCCGCCGCGCTACGGCTCCTCCCCGGCGCCCTTCCTTCGCGGCCCTGCCCGGACGGCCGTATCCAAGCTCCTGAAAGAGACTCCCTTCCGCGCTCGCGGCTGGCTGCCTCGCGCGTCCTCTCGCGCTGGTCTCCGCTCCTGCCTGCCCGCCCGGCTCAAGGCAGCTGGGCCTACGCTAAGCACGCACCGGTGGGGAGGGGCCTGAGCACCGAAATGCCCCCGCCCTCTTCTCAAGCGGTGAGAGTGAGAGGGAGGAGGAGGAGGAGGAGGAGATCGGGTGTCTTCTCCTCCTGGCGGGCGACCGTTGCCGTTGAAAGCGAGGAATTTCCAAATAGGACGACTCTCCGGTTGCGGTTGTCCCTGGGACGATCGCCCCTAGCAAGGGTCGTGGAGGAGATGCTCCCCGCTCGAGAGCCGATCTGCGGTGCCGAAGTTGGTTTGCTTACACCTTGCGCTATGATCTTTTCTAATCTTCGGTTGTCATTGTGCGTACGCGAAGGGCGGTCCTGCAGTTGGAGAAGCACCTGTAACAGCATCAGTTTTTTTAAACCAGAGGATGAGAAACCTGCTGGAGTGTGGATGCACAAGCCCAATCGCATACTAAAATGTTTGCTCCGTGTAGTTTTCGGTCACGGAGCACGGAGCGAACGAGGCATCTGCCTAAACCCACACTTTAAGTCTTCGTTCAATCCCGAACATTTTCCAGAAGTGAACATGTGTGGGAATACTTTACTCATGTTCAACCTTTCCTGGTTTAGGATAGTTAGTAACAGGTGCTGTTTCATTCCTTGGCATTCATTCCTCTCCTTTTCCATCACAGAGGAACTGCCGCATGACTGATTTCTGTGCTTTGCAGACAGAAATTAGCACACCTTGAAATTAGCAAGATGAGCACAAAGCCTTCTCTGAAATACGATTTGCAGAACTGGACTGCTATCTGCCATATCTTTATTATATTTGTACTCTTTATTATTAGGTGGGACACTGTGGCTCAGTGGCTGAGACACTGAGCTTGTTGATCAGAAAGGCCGGCAGTTGGGTGGTTCGAATCCCTAGCACCATATAAAGGAATGAGCTCCCGTTACTTGTCCCAGCTTTTGCCAAACCTAGCAGTTCAAAAGCATGTAAAAATGCAAGTAGAAAAATAGGGACCACCTTTGGTGGGAAGGTAACAACGTTCCATGCGCCTTCGGCATTTAGTCATGCCAGCCACATGACCACGGAGACGTCTTTGGACAGCACTGGCTGCTCGGCTTTGAAACAGATGAGCACTGCCCCCTAGAGTTGGGAACGACTAGCACATATGTGTGAGGGGAACCTTTACCTTTTGGCTCTTTATTAAGCCAGGTGTACAAAAATACACTTTTGGGATCTTCAAATCACTTAATTAAAGGTTGGAGGAGGAATGAAGATAATCTAAAAAGACAAATAGCTAGTAATAGCATTAAAGCCCACATGGCCAAAATGTCATTTTTAGATCCACTACTGCTTAGGCCTCTCATTGATCTATCTCCAATCTGTAAAATGGGAATGCAGGTTAGTTATAGAAAAGACGGTGGTGACAGGTGGTCTTCACAGTGAAGTCTTACCTCCACTGAGCCATGGTGGCACAGTGGTTAGAATGCAGTATTGCAGGCTAATTCTGCTGACTGCCAGGGATTCGATCCTCACTGGTTTAAGCTGACTCAGCCTTCCATCCTTTTGAGGTCAGTAAAATGAGGACCAGATTGGGAGCTGATGCCGTAAACCGCTTCAAGAGAGTTGTAAAGCACTGTGAAGGGGCATATAAGTCTAAGTGTTATTGCTATTTTCTGTGCAAACAAAGGCTCCTCCAACCACTGAAGTAATTGCACAGCCTGAAATGACAGGGGCCAAGGACTTCTTCCACAGCAGTGTTAAGTTACTGCATGGAAAGATAAGAGTGCACTTTTGGACAAAGTTTTTTTAAATTTTCTATACTATGTTTTTAATGCTTGTAAGCTACCTATAACAAGTAGATGATATAAATGTAATGAACGAACGAATGAATGAATGTGTACGTTGCTTGGGGGGGGAGGGGAGTTTCCACATTGAATAAAACATTGAATTGGTTTTATTATTAATTAATTTATATACTTTATATACATCTTACTATCAAAGCAACTCTGGTTTTGGTTTCATGCAACATTCGAACGTGTGGTTAATAGCTTAGCTTTTTTGTTGTTTCTAGATTTATGTTGTCCCTTTCATTTTGGAGATTAAGGCATGTATAGCACACTTTTTTTCTCCACGACAACTACCTTATGAAGTAAGTTGTTCTGAGAAGGGGGGGAGAAATGGCCCAAAGTCACTCATTGAGGTAACTTTGGTGGGTAACTTTCTACAACTCTAAAGTAATCCATTATTAAAGCAAATTAGTGATAACAAATGGAATCTAGAGATTCCACTAACTGTCTCACGCAGATGCGAGCTGTAAGTGAAAGAGATAAAGAAATGTGCTGTACCAGCATGAGATTTTAACACTTCAGTCTTATCAAAAATTGGCAGCCATCACAATGTTCTACAAGGAAGGTAGCTGTTTTATATGTCTGTTTAGCTCATGGATTTAAAATTAGCATGGCAGAAGAGAAACCAGAAAACAACAAAACCAGCACATCTACCTGTTATTCATCAAGTGGTGTTTAGCATTTGTAAAAGCAGGAAGGAGCAAGAAATATGTAAATGCATAATTGACACCTGTCCACTTCTCTGTGATCCTCTATGTAGCTCCCCTATACTTAACCAGAGATTGTTTATGTTCAGCAGAAAAACTGGAATGCTTCTGGTGAGCATGGCTAATTCGTCCTCAAAATGACACTTTTAACACATAGCAGTTTACAGGGTTTCAATCAGTTATATTTCCATATCTTCATATTTCTAATAGATGCTTGTTCTTCTGTTATTCAGGTTCACATGTACTGTTTCAACTATTGCTCTCAAATGCAATATGCTTAGCCAATAATATGATTTGCTTTTTAGAGTTTGTGTTTTTTGGATTGGCTGTGCCTCCTTTCCCGCTTATCATTCTTGGGATTTCTCAGGCCTGAAAATTAATCTAGTTTTGATGGACTAAATCTATTGCCACTGAGAATATATTCTTTAATTGTCTGCCAAGGCACCATTAGGTTTTATGAAACAGAAATGAAAAGCCAGAAGGAATACAGATTGAAAGTCAAAGTAAAAGCAGCGCAGAGACAAAAGAGTGAACAACCATTTTAGCTTACAAAGCAGATGTAGTCAAGTGATGGCCTGGGGAAATGGAAGGTACCAGATTGTTTTATTGGGGTGATATAAAATAGTAGATTCTTGAGTCCTTCTGAAAAAGGGAACATGAATTTGAATTATATATGCAGACTCCATAATTAACCCGCACACTTCCAAAACAGAAGTTCCTCATAAACTCAATATTTATCCTGGAAAGATATATGAATTTCCTCTGAGTAGAATATACATTGGTGGTGTCAAAATGCTGAATGTGATAGTCAAGATTAGAGTATATTAATTTGTATATTTGGTGAACACTTGCATCAAGAGTCATTTCCATTAAAAATTGGAGTTGAGTTCTCATTATAAAGTTAAATGTAAACAAATAAGCACTGTTGGGTTGGAACATGAAATTTAAATTCCACCATCACCAAATTTGAGTCAAGAAAATGATGCCACATTATGGTCAAAACCAGTTCAGAAATACTTCATGAGTGAAATTCATATAGGGCTAAACTGAGCCACATTTGGCTATGGTTAAGCCACACTATGATGTTTTTGATTTTGCTTTAATTATTAGTAGGGGTCAGCCATTATGACTAACTTAGCAATTTATCTTTAAACAGACTGATTTACATGATGTGCTAGCCCAATCACTGACCTTTGCTGTCCCAACCAAATGTAACCAATAAGATGTACATACTTGAGTCACATCACAAGATAAGACTTCTAAATGTTACAATATGACATTTAACTTTGGAAGGCATTCTATTTTTGACAGCCATCCTGCTATGTTAGTAATGATTTAGAAAGATAAGGCAATTCTTCAGACATGAATGGACGTTTTAGGGGCGGCCACAAAGAAGAGGGAGTCAACCTATTTTTCAAATCACCAGAAGGCAAGGCAACAAAGAGTAATATAGAAATAGTAATATGGATGGAAACTAAACAAGGACAGAAGAAACCTGTAATTTAGAAGAAACTTCCTAACGATGAGAACAATTAATCAGCTTGGCTTCAGAAGTAGTCGGGTGCTCCATCACTGGACGCATTTAAAAAAGAGACTGGACAGCTATTTGTCTGAAATGGTACAGGGTTTCCTACTTGAGCAGGACTAGAAGACCTCCAAGGTCCCTTCCAATGTTCTATGTTCTTGACTACTATTCTTTGACCCATAGTGACATGGAGGCTTGCTGTGTTGTCAGCCTTTCTTCTCCTTTAATTTTATAAGACATATGTTTTATGTAGAGGAAATTCACTTTCAAACCCAGCATTTCCAGGTAAGGATGTGCGACCAGCCTGAATTGCTGGTGCAAGTCAATATCAGCAAACAGAGTTAGATAAAAAGCTATACTGTCAGCAGATCACCAAGATTCAGTACAGAGTCTCTTCTATTTTAGAAACATGCAGTTGAAATTACCACTTTGCAAGGCAACCGTCTCTAACAGACTGGAATAGAAACTATCAATAACAATATAGACATTTAAAAAATAATGAAGCTCAGTAACATATTGAAAAAGAACATGCACACATACATTGACATACACTATATTGCCAAAAGTATTCGCTCACCTGCCTTTACTCGCATATGAACTTATATTGGCTCCCAATAGATGTTCATGTGCAATTCAAGTTTCCTGGTTATTGCCTTTAAAGCTTTAGATACCATAGAACCGAGCTACTTGCAAGACTACCTGCTCCCCTCAACCTCTGCCTGCCCCATGCATTCCCATTTGGACATGCCGCATGCTCCAGATCTCTGCTGACTGATGTCTGGATGTTGTTACAAATTCGCTACCCAATACTCATATTTATACAGTACAGATAAATGAAAATCAGTCTGATAAAATCCAGACTAACTATAATTAGCACAAAGAATAATGAAAAAAGC